GACACTAGTATACTGCCCTACACGTAGCACTAAATTGCACACCATGTTTCAGCCTTGTAACCTTGATGCCGCTTGACTGTAGACCATCTACTTTGAGCCTCTGTAGCTAGTTTTAGCTACGGACCTCATCTTGAGTTGTCTCTGGTGTATTCTTAGCAACTACCTGATTATAATCTAGTGTGTGCTGCAAGTGCTTAGTGACTAACTGATTGAGCAAATTCTTGTAAATCAGTCATTTGCTATTTGATATTATCAACTTCAAACGTCAAACTCAAAGGGGTTCTTCCTCTCGTTATTTGATAAGCATGATTTTAGACTAATACAAATCAATAAGAGGAGAGCAATAAGATGGTTGATGGAGACACTCTTTTAATGACTTGCACTCTTTATCAAGGCAAAATAAAAAATTAGGAGAGCAAAATGTTTGAGAAAATCGAGACTCGTAAGAGGGTGATGAGAAACCATGCAATTGGAAGAGTGAGAGAGGGTGATGAGAAACCATGCAATCGAAAGAGTGAGAAATCATAATGAGTTCATTGAGTACGCGTTCTACATTTACAGATCATCTGGACAGTTATACAACATAGTCGCTTCCCTTGAGACAGTTCAAAGAGCAAGAGAAATAATCAATCCTCAACGAGCCTAAATCGGAAATATATCTTACAGAAATTCCCAACATAATTCACCGATCTCTCGCATTCAGTCCACGACATGTCTCAATCAGTATTTACTATTTATACTTTCAACTATATCTCCATCCATGGCATTACATCTAGAGATCATTGACAGGAGCAAGTGCAAATGATCGTCGACAAAGCTTGATACGTCTCATGAGATCTTCTCAAGAGCCCAGTCTACTTTTCCTTAATCACTTCAAGGTGGACATCAATGACCAGCAGTTGAAGTTGATTAGCAGTTAGCTCATTACCAACCAGTTTCTCGAATCAGTATCAGTCAATCTGTGCCAGCAACAGAGGTATTCAGTCATTCGGTCAATACAACATTTCCTAGAGCTTCTCTACACGAGATCAACATTATTCAGATCAGCCCAGTATTCACCTCGGCACATGAGTATTATTGTTTCCTTTCCTGTAGATCAAACTGTCCTAAGCAATCTTAACCAGATAGCTCTCAAGGATGCTTTCCAATACCGATAGGTCACTGCGGTCACTTTCAAACAAGAAGATCTATCAATCTTCGTGGTTCTCACTGAGTTTGCAAGGAACAATCCAAGATCCGAGGATCTATATGAAAAAGGGGAAGGAGACTCGTGGGCACTTTGATTATGTCAAGGTTACTGCAGTTGAGCATGTCGAGGAGGGGGCACAAGTGCTTCAAAAGAATACGAAGCTGATTCATAACTTTGGTCCTATATTATACACTAATTATCCTCATACTTGCAAGCGGACGCCGTCCAGGCGGTTCCGCATATGCGGCAGACCGCTGGACCGGACCCGCGCGGCGCAGCCCCCCATTCCCCCCCCCACCAAAAATGAAACGCCCCCATCCGGTCCGGGGGGAGGGTGCCACACGCGGCAAAGCGGACCGGACCGGACGCTCGTCCGGTCTGTCTGCTTGCAAAGTAAACCATAATATCAGGAGATAGGCAAACATAGTTCAAGGCACAAGAGAAGCATATGGTCAAATGAAAGATTGAGGATGAGCCCTGGAAGGGAGAGTGAGGACTCTTGACGAGTGTTGCTCTCTCTCTCTCTCTCTCTCTCTCTCTCTCTCTCTCTCTCTCTCTCTCTCTCTCTCTCTCTCACACGTGCGCGCACGCGCGCACGTGTACTTGCGCATAGTTTTCCATTTCCTTTTTTTCGGTCCAGATGATTGGTGCACCTTGGACGTCTTTCTATATTTTCACTCCTTATTCTTTTCATTCACATTTTTCCACTTTTCTTGCTTCAACCAATGGTCCCAAGTGAGGCATCGAAAGATGTCATGATGCTCCTATTCTCATAGCAATCCCTTTTTCCTTTTTTTTTGGGTCCCGATGGACTGCGGAACAGATATAAAACTGATTGGTGCAAATAATGCACTTGACAGGGGCAGGTCATAGCTACTCTCTCTCTCTCTCTCTCTCTCTCTCTCTCTCTCTCTCTCTCTCTCTCTCTCTCTCTCTCTCTCTCTCTCTCTCTCTCTCNCTCTCTCTCTCTCTCTCTCTCTCTCTCTCTCTCTCTCTCTCTCTCTCTCTCTCTCTCTCTCTCTCTCTCTCTCTCTCGCACGCGCGCGCGCGCGCCTAGTTTTCCATTTCCTTTTTTTTGGGTCCCAATGGACCGCGGAACAGATATGAAACTGATTGGTGCAGAATCTGCAGATAATACACTTGCGAGGCAGGTCAGTTTGTATGCACTCTCTCTCTCTCTCTCTCTCTCTCTCTCTCTCACTCACACACACACACACACACACACACACGCACACACGCACACACACACACACACACACATGCACTTTCTTTCTCTCGTAGTTCCAAGACCACAAAGAAATGAAAGCAACGGACATGAATAACAAACTCACCGTCAGTCACCAAGGTGCGATCGTTCAGAAGCCTTGACGCTGCACAGCTCAAGCCTCAGCGTCCAACCTTCAGGATGCAGAGATGGTGTGTCCTGGTTTGGTGTCTTTGTGTATGCGTGTGTTTGTGGCATGTGTGTGTTGTATGTGTGTGTGCGTGTGTGGATGTGTGTGTTCTGTGTGGGTGAGTTTGCGTATGTGTGATTGTTGTTATATTCGCTATACAAAACTCATAAAATGACTGATCCAGACTGTTTCGTTGGACTTCCACCCAACCCCCACTGTCCGCCCAAGACAAACTGTACTGATGGCCAAGCACTCACCACGTGTGTGTGTGTGTGTGTGTGTGTGTGTGTGTGTGTGTGTGTGTGTGCGTGCGTGCTTGCCTGCGTGTGTGTGCGTGTGCGTGCGTGCGTGCTTGCGTGTGTGTGTGTGTGTGTGTGTGTGCGTGTGTGTGTGTGTGCGTGCTTGCGTGCATGTGTGTGTGCCTGCATGCGTGTGTGCATGTGTGTTCATGTGTCTGTGTGCGTGTGTGCGTGTTCACGTGTGTCCAACGTTGAGCGAAATCGTAGTCGAGCATAGCAGCGTAGAAGTCAGTTGAAGTCGAGTGCTGTAGCCTAGGATATGAAAAGTTGAAGTCGATTGTAGGGCAGGTATGGTGTTGGGGCGCTTTTTCCCGCGCCACCTCCCAAAATCGAAGTGAGTTCATTTCGTGCAACTGCTTGGTGCTGTCCCGACAACTTCCGGCATTACAAGTGCTAGCACGTGTGCCCAGTACCTTGTGTGGTACGGATCTGGTGCGCAGGCCCGGTACCAAGCGTGATGCCGGAACTGGTGTGCGGGCCCGATACTGGCCCTGGCGCGCTGCTGCGACGGTTCAACTTCTAAGAAAAAAACGATCAGCAGACGATCCAGACCATCGCGCATCAAGAGATTGGAGGGCCCCGATCGTCCGCTTGTCACAGGCAGGAACTTAGCTTGTAGTTATTATATATGTAATGATACGAACTATTACAAACAAATTTAGGCTACCAAGCCCATGTGGCTGAACGGTTGATAAACAGACCTGAGTTCGAACCGTAATTAAAAAAATCAGATAAACACCTCTGAATTACCTGTGTGGCTGGTCAATTCAATAATGATATCTCAAGGCTTTCACCCTCCAAACAAAAAAAAAAAAAAAAAAAAAAAACGTTCAAAAGAAGAAAATAAAATGTTTCGGCTCAAGGTCACTTTCAAAGTTCCATATTAAATTGAACATAAAAAAAAACATTAAGTAACAAACCGGTTGAGGACCTTAAAAGCACCACGACCTGTCCCGCTATTGTGAAAACAGGAAAATAATTCAAAATATCCTCTTCCAAAAAAAACGGAGGCTGGGCCCGACAGCGGCCATCACATTGCCGGGCCGGGCAGCGGCAATCACATTTCATTCCGGCCTCCTAAAAATCCGGGGGCCTGGCCGCAGCCCACATGGGAAAAGGCAGCGGTGTTTTCACTTTTAAGGTAAATCGTTCTAAACTCTTTTTAACCCCTTTCAAGTTTCAATCCCTTCGCTATGCGAAGTGCCCTAAAACCAAATTCAAAGATAAGGCTGTGCATTTTGAGTCTTTTGACTGCTCAGGCAGAGCGCAGTTCCGCCCGGAGGTCAGATTATTTCTACCCGGCCCGGTGCACATCCCGGCAGGCGGGGTCTGGGCTGCAAGACAGCCAACCATGGCAAAATACATCAGATAGTACAGATACTGATATTTAGGTGAATAGACGGGCCCACATACAGGTCCGATTAGACAGAAAAATTGCAGCTCCAGCACCACATACACACATCAAAGTGCAATGAATTGCAGTCTGAGCCCTTCGGGACTTGATCCCGTGACCTACAGTTCGTATGTGTTACTTAGTAGCTTTGAGTCCTGCTGGGCTTGATCCCTGAACCTGTTGCTGGTAGTCTCTATTTGGCAGTCTTGAAAACTGGTAGGTCTTGCTGTTTTGTCTTTTTCTGCTCTTCTGGACACTGGCAGGCCCGTAGGTCTCTCATTTGTGTGTCCTAGTCTCGGGTCCCCCTAGTCTAGATTTCCATCCAGATGCATGTAGGCAGATCTTGACTGTTTGGCCGTAGATGTTTGCTGTTTCGACGGTCACAGATAGGTTCGTAGGTGACTCATGTGTTGTAGGTCTAGGGAAGTGGGCCGAAGTAGGGAGAGACACCGACAAGTTCGGGGTTTCTTTCTCATTAGTCTTGGAAATGGCGACGGGAGTGTACGTGAGCGGCACTATTTCCAGCACTCGGTCTTCTTCCTCTTCGAAGGGAAACTTGGGCAGCCATAGCTGACACCTTCCAGGTGCTGATGCCACTGCCATCACGTTGCTGTTTGTGGGGTTGAAGAACAGCCGCTCTTTCTTCCTTGAGCAGCTTGCTTGTTGCTAGTTGCTGCCATACCAGGGCAGCCATCATCTTCTTCATCGACGTTCACCCTTCTGCTTCACGGTGGTTTGCGGCGCTGCAACTTGATATCTGGCTCACGCCAGATCAGCACCTGTACTCACAGGCTCGGGGCATGATGAGATGCTGTTTTCAACAGTGGGCTATCACTGGCGGCTGGGGGTCGTAGGAAAAAGAGGAAGTTGCGGTCAATCTTCATCGAAGTGTTTTGTCAGCGGTTAATAGGAGGCGGAACAGATTTGGTGGATGAGATTCTTGGGGTTGTTCAGTTGACGGGAGCCTCAGGAGGCGAGCAGGGGGTGTACTAAATAATTGATTGAAATTTGAGACATTTTTCTCTCAATTTTTATATCTGGCTTTGGCTTCCGCTGTGCAATCTCTCTCCACGGCTATGGTGCGAATCTGCTCTCTCCTGTCTGCATGTCATTGCAGATGTGCATGGGAACATTTGAATCAGGTTTCGAGTTGGTGGGATTCTTGTGAATCAACCGAACACAACAAACGGAGCCGTCGGGCGTCGCTCCACTACTCTCTCGACGTCCACAAACGACAAAAGTCATGGTGGTGTATCTTTCCATGTTCTAGCAGAAGATTCACTCTCGTGCACATTTCTAGAGTAGCGGGAGGCCCATCACCCTGCCGAGCCAAGCATCCCTCTCCAGTCCTCGAGCAGTACAGAAACAAAGTTCACATTACCGTCTAGATACTCTGTCAGGACTCCATACGAAAAAAGTACGACCACCAACGAGCCTAGCTCAGTTGGTACACCCATAATAAACTGTTGAAATGCAAACCCCGGTTCGAATCCAGATGGAATCACGGAACCAGATGGACAGAATTCCTGACTTACCTAGGACCGGCCAGTTTCACGATGTTATCTCAAAACTGTCCCCCTTTCGGAAAAAAAAAGAGAGGAAGAAGAAAAGAAAAGAAACCATGAAACGGACATGCAAAAACTTCAGGAAGAGTGAAGAAAACCACAATTGAAACAATCTTCCCCCCCCCCCCCCCCCCGAAAAGAGTATTGTACATCACACTCACAACATTATGCTCATTGCGAAGAAGAACGAGATTCTGATCCCGACTAAAATTATGGTGACGAATAGTCTGCCACGGAGAACGAGCAAGACTCCACCACAATTTAGTATAGCGTTCAGAAAAGTCCATCATCTCCAAACAAACCTATTTCATGTCCTAGAATAGCCAATAGCCAGCCCCCTGGCAGGCATGCTAATGCCATTTCAGATATACCAATCAGCAAAATAGCCACTTGCGTGACGGCATACAGTCCCGATACGTATCAACAAAAAAGATTGAGTTCTCTTCGAGAGCGAACACACCACACCACACCACACCACACCGATGTCTCACACTATCCTCTACCTGTCTCTTATACACATCTAGATGTGTATAAGAGACAGGTGCGTGCTTGCGTGCATGTGTGTGTGCCTGCATGCGTGTGTGCTGTCTCTTATACACATCTAGATGTGTATAAGAGACAGCTGCATAAGTGCCTGCTAAGTTATGTTTGTTGTACCTAGTACGTGAGTGAAGTCCATACATATCTATGTGTTACAACCATACTTGCAAGCTGACGGACCGGACGAGCGTCCGGTCCGGTCCGCTTTGCCGTGTGCGGCATCCTCCCCCCAAACTGGACGGACCCGGACCGGACTGGACAGGGCCGTTTTTTTTTGGGTGGGGGTGGGGGTGGGGCGTAACTGGTCATCGGGCGCACACTCGTGCGCCGCGCGGGTCCGGTCTGGTCTGCCGCACGTGCGGAACCGCCCGGACGGCGTCCGCTTGCAAGTATGGTTACGACTGTGGAGTATACTAGTAAGGATCACCCTCGGTTGCTCCGGGAAAAACGCGAGCATGGATAAAATTATGTGCAATGAACGAATAATGTTCACGTGTTGTTGTATCCAAAGTGATATCAGAGAACACAACAACTTTTGTCTTGATCAATGCTTAAGAAAGGGTTATCGTGAGAGGTTCGTTTTGCACTGTTCAGAGGAGCTGAGTGTTAATTAAGTGAAATAGGCTAAAGGAAGTTTTCAACGTCGTACACTAACTAGAACTCGAGTCACTTATGAACCAGCGCGACTGAGCATTTGTTGTCCAACACAATATTTACACAAATGCCATACCCCTTGCAAAGACTAGTACTGCATTCTTAGTAGCAAATTGAGAAGTGGTTTCTTTGATTATCCGTAAAAAAATCAGTGTTCTCACTTCTCTGTTGAATATGATTATAACTCATGTCTTGAGTATTACCTAAAGTACGGAGCGTAGTTGGCAGCTTCGACCGTAACAAATGGGCATTAATTGTCACTGACACTAGTATACTGCCCTACACGTAGCACTAAATTGCACACCATGTTTCAGCCTTGTAACCTTGATGCCGCTTGACTGTAGACCATCTACTTTGAGCCTCTGTAGCTAGTTTTAGCTACGGACCTCATCTTGAGTTGTCTCTGGTGTATTCTTAGCAACTACCTGATTATAATCTAGTGTGTGCTGCAAGTGCTTAGTGACTAACTGATTGAGCAAATTCTTGTAAATCAGTCATTTGCTATTTGATATTATCAACTTCAAACGTCAAACTCAAAGGGGTTCTTCCTCTCGTTATTTGATAAGCATGATTTTAGACTAATACAAATCAATAAGAGGAGAGCAATAAGATGGTTGATGGAGACACTCTTTTAATGACTTGCACTCTTTATCAAGGCAAAATAAAAAATTAGGAGAGCAAAATGTTTGAGAAAATCGAGACTCGTAAGAGGGTGATGAGAAACCATGCAATTGGAAGAGTGAGAGAGGGTGATGAGAAACCATGCAATCGAAAGAGTGAGAAATCATAATGAGTTCATTGAGTACGCGTTCTACATTTACAGATCATCTGGACAGTTATACAACATAGTCGCTTCCCTTGAGACAGTTCAAAGAGCAAGAGAAATAATCAATCCTCAACGAGCCTAAATCGGAAATATATCTTACAGAAATTCCCAACATAATTCACCGATCTCTCGCATTCAGTCCACGACATGTCTCAATCAGTATTTACTATTTATACTTTCAACTATATCTCCATCCATGGCATTACATCTAGAGATCATTGACAGGAGCAAGTGCAAATGATCGTCGACAAAGCTTGATACGTCTCATGAGATCTTCTCAAGAGCCCAGTCTACTTTTCCTTAATCACTTCAAGGTGGACATCAATGACCAGCAGTTGAAGTTGATTAGCAGTTAGCTCATTACCAACCAGTTTCTCGAATCAGTATCAGTCAATCTGTGCCAGCAACAGAGGTATTCAGTCATTCGGTCAATACAACATTTCCTAGAGCTTCTCTACACGAGATCAACATTATTCAGATCAGCCCAGTATTCACCTCGGCACATGAGTATTATTGTTTCCTTTCCTGTAGATCAAACTGTCCTAAGCAATCTTAACCAGATAGCTCTCAAGGATGCTTTCCAATACCGATAGGTCACTGCGGTCACTTTCAAACAAGAAGATCTATCAATCTTCGTGGTTCTCACTGAGTTTGCAAGGAACAATCCAAGATCCGAGGATCTATATGAAAAAGGGGAAGGAGACTCGTGGGCACTTTGATTATGTCAAGGTTACTGCAGTTGAGCATGTCGAGGAGGGGGCACAAGTGCTTCAAAAGAATACGAAGCTGATTCATAACTTTGGTCCTATATTATACACTAATTATCCTCATACTTGCAAGCGGACGCCGTCCAGGCGGTTCCGCATATGCGGCAGACCGCTGGACCGGACCCGCGCGGCGCAGCCCCCCATTCCCCCCCCCACCAAAAATGAAACGCCCCCATCCGGTCCGGGGGGAGGGTGCCACACGCGGCAAAGCGGACCGGACCGGACGCTCGTCCGGTCTGTCTGCTTGCAAAGTAAACCATAATATCAGGAGATAGGCAAACATAGTTCAAGGCACAAGAGAAGCATATGGTCAAATGAAAGATTGAGGATGAGCCCTGGAAGGGAGAGTGAGGACTCTTGACGAGTGTTGCTCTCTCTCTCTCTCTCTCTCTCTCTCTCTCTCTCTCTCTCTCTCTCTCTCTCTCTCTCTCTCACACGTGCGCGCACGCGCGCACGTGTACTTGCGCATAGTTTTCCATTTCCTTTTTTTCGGTCCAGATGATTGGTGCACCTTGGACGTCTTTCTATATTTTCACTCCTTATTCTTTTCATTCACATTTTTCCACTTTTCTTGCTTCAACCAATGGTCCCAAGTGAGGCATCGAAAGATGTCATGATGCTCCTATTCTCATAGCAATCCCTTTTTCCTTTTTTTTTGGGTCCCGATGGACTGCGGAACAGATATAAAACTGATTGGTGCAAATAATGCACTTGACAGGGGCAGGTCATAGCTACTCTCTCTCTCTCTCTCTCTCTCTCTCTCTCTCTCTCTCTCTCTCTCTCTCTCTCTCTCTCTCTCTCTCTCTCTCTCTCTC